GGTCCCTACTGACTGATCTTTTCTCAAGTGGGGTTTTTTTTCTCCTAGTTCTTTTTAAAGTCTTGCTAAAAGAACACAGCTCAGATCATGGCCATTTTGGATGGAATTTTTGCATATCCTTCAGTTTTACACTACAGAGCTCTACACTACAGAGCCTCAATAATCTAAGGGCAGAAATGTGCTTCTCATCCCATATATGTTACATTTCAGTCCTCTGGCTAGTGAAGGAAATGCAGCTTGTGCCGTGCAGAGGTGACACTCCTAGTTTATGTCTCGTGAGCTCTGCCAAAGAGTTGATCCACGTGGGGGGACACCACCTGCAATTTCAGTCGTGCTGCACACTGGCAGTGGGGGCGTGGTGCAGATGGATGGCTACGAGGGCTTCAGTAGTCCAGTGGCCATGAACTGCCTCTGGAAGGTGTTTTCCACAAGTGGACAATGTGTTTGAAGGTGTATTCCCAAAGTGGCCACTCCCTCCTGAATGGGCAACAGCTGCACAGACAGGTCATTCACAGGGGTTTATGTGGGGTGTTGCATCCCCTGCACTTACACCCATACTCCTGCTTTTCTGTGTAAGAATCTTGATTCATTTGATCCTGTCAATATACATATGTATTCCATTCCCACCCCCTCTCTGTGTCTAGCTGAAAGCAGCAGTAATTTCAGTGTGCCTGATATTACAAGAACATTTGCAGGATAATGTTCACATCACTGCTGTTGATACTTACATGCTGGTTTTTTCACTGTATACTTTAACTCCGGACTTGGCGGGGGAGGCATATTCATGCAAGGGGGATTGAGAGAGCCCTTTTAGTTTAAATATGTAGAGACTGGGGGAGAAAAATCCTCCAAGGGAACTGGTCGTATCTTCCACTGGTCGTATCTTCCCCTTGGATTCTGTTATCAGTGTATTTCTTAACACACAAGGATATTTTCTTTTTTTGGGGGGGCTAAAAGAGGAAGTGTGATGAGTAGATCCTAATCAGATACAATATGAGAAACCTCAATTAGATGCATTTTCTGTGTAATAAAACCAATAAAAAACCCCACTTAAAGACGCCAGCACCATTATCATGAACAATGAGTCAATTTCTCCTGCAGTATTTTAAGTGTGTAGCTGTGACTTCAGAATAATTTTCTTCACCAACAAGCATATATCCAGGGCTGTTTGGGATTACTTTGATTATCATACTGTAAGATCAATTCTAAATGTAGGCACTGAAGCCTGAATAATTTATTTTCTAGCCCATTAGAACAATTTGGAGGATCTAATTCCATAGGCAGTTTATTTGCCAAGAGAGCAAGTGCACGCCTCTGTGCATCTCCTGGGGAAGAAGAGACAGATAATCTCTGCTTTTAGAATAAGACACCTGCTGTACTGCTTGACTCTGCTCTATAAATTTGTGAGAAATTTGTCTTGAACAGAATATTTTGCTACTTCCACAGCCAATTGCAAAGTCCAGGGCTTGAAAAGAACCCACTGCTTCTGTCTTTTCCTCACAGTTTTGCAGCTCAGGCACAGATGCACCAAATAGCCCATTCAAGATTTACACTGAGGTCTTTCCTGGAGCAAACACCTGACTCAAATATCCTATGTCTTAGGGCTGGGACAGTATTCCTTCTGGTGTCTCACTGTTTTCACCTTAGAATAAGAGACTTTGCAAAAAAATGAGCAACATTTATTAGGGAAAAAAAGAGAGAATTGCATTTTGTTTTAGGTTTTGTCATGAGCTGCCTTGTTTGCAAGAGAGTGGATTATCCTGAAAAATTAGGCAAATAATATGTTAAACATTTCACAGGGGAGTTTTAAAAAGTACTATTTTCAGTAGCCTGGCATCTTTGAAGGGGAACTTTTTTTTTTTTTTTAATTTATAGTCAACTCTGCACTCACCAAATTGAGTTAATACAGACTCTCATTTGGCTGCCAGTAGATCAGCTGTAGTCTTCTCTCTAATTTTTTTATCTTACTGGTTTCTCTTTTAATTGTGACAGTATCACTGTTTGTGCAGAAGCCCCCAAATTGTCAAAACCAGCCCTGTTAATGGTTTTGGTTTTGTTTAGTTTAGCATATCAGCAAGCCCAGAAAACTGTCAAAACTTTTCATTTCCTCACTATGCTTCTGACACTCTTTGACACGAAAAAAGGGCTGGGGGTAAGGAGAGAAAAAGTGGAAGAGAGGGAACATCATAAATAACCATTTAAAATTATCTATGCCTTAGATACCAAGAGGAGGAAGTAAAAACAGACATGCAGCATAGAACCAACTACAATGGCTTTCTCTTGGCTCTGATCCAGAATAAGTAAATATGATGCATCTAATGCCAGGGTCTCAGACTGGGAATTACATTGCAATTCAGTTCAGAATGGAAGGCAGAGAGGATGAGGAGCAAGCTTTTTGAATGTTCTGGAATAGAAAACATTTGGCTGTTGTTGGAAAGGCTCCTGTGTCTGTCTTGGTGGGTGCTGGTTCTTTAAGCAGTTCCCTAAACAGATCCTTGATTGTTAAAAGGCCCCTGGATGCAGACTTGCAGGTGTGCTTCGCTCCCTGGGCAAGAGGGGCCTTTAAAGTGCAGTTTAGTCTATAGCTAAGGACAGCCTCTGTTTCCTGGGTGTGCCTGGTGTGACAGCTTAGTAAATTTATTTGGGACCATGAGTAGATATTCTCATGTGGGAAAAGGAACAGAGCTGAACAAAGGTGGAGCAGTCTTCAGTAATATGCGCTGACATTATGAAATCCAGTTTGAGCTGGGTGGTTTAATGTTCAAAGGATGCCTTTTTGCCTTTCAAGTTTAGTCAGTCAACCCAAGGAAGAGCTGTGCATTATCTCTTTAAAAATAGGAATGTAATGAGCTGCTGGAGAGCAGAGTATCTCTGAATCAAGGGCAGTGTAGTGAGATACTGCTGCTGAACAGGATCCCTGATCTAAATGGCTACAGCCCCAGTTGTGGCATTTTGCATGAACTGTGTTCTGGTTTTCTGATGTTTCATGCCACTGGTGAATTTCCAGTTTTTGCAAACAAGAATTACTTTGGAGTCAGAAGATGCTGAGTTCAAACATCCAGGCAACAATGTCTCAAGCATTAAGCATTGTGCATCAATAAGAATTTAGTGGATGATGGAGGAGCAGGCAAGCGGGTCTTGCCTTTACAGCATCCTCAGTGAGACCCACCCCCTGCAATACAAGTGATGGTACCACTCAAAGCAGCGTAGCAGCAGGGGGAGCATGAAAGGTGATGAAATAAGCTGCCTCTTTTTGGTGCTGTTGAGTTGCTTCAGAACAAAGAACTGAAGAGCTAAATGTATTGCGAGGTCATGGTTCTGCTGCTCTTGGGCATCCGCCTTCATTAGGCTTAATTGGGCTGTTTGAGCAGCCTCCTCATGCCTGCAGCTCTGAGGCTGATCTTGAGGCAAACATCCACCAAGCTGAAGAGGCAGAAGTGCACTTCTCCTTTTCAGCCCATTCCTCAGCCGGTTTAATGCTATTCCTGTCTGTATTTCAGCACTCTAACCAGTTTGGTTTTACCTTAGATGTTTGTGACATCTCCTTCAATGCTGTTCTGTTCTGACCATCAGTGTTTTATTTCCTCTTTAGGGATTTTGTTGCTATATGATTCCTTTTTTTTTTTTTTTTTTCCTGTGGGCCGTGACGATAGCTTTTCTTTATATCCCCTCCCTTAGCTTAAATGATTTTCTGTGGGTTACCTTCTCTAGGTATTCTTCCCCCTCCACTCCCTTGGTTGTTCTTCAATAACTTTGGACAATGTTCATGATCATACTCTGTAAGTGGGAATAGAGGGGAGGTCAGGGCATGGGTTGTCCCTCCATGGCACTTGTAAGAGGATACTTGTGAAAGGTAGAATACAGTGATGTGGGGATGCCTGGAATTTGCAAAGACTCCTAAATGAGGACATTTGAGCCCCTGTGTCTTGGAGTTTGCTTTCTCTCGGTGGAGACACACAGGGTGGTACAGCTGAGGTACACTGATGTGAGGTTTAGTTTGGTTCCTTAGCTCTGAACAAAACAGTGGTTTGCAGCTGGGGTGAGGAATGCTGCCTTAAAACACAGCTGCCTTTATTGCCTGTTATTTGGGGAGGAATTCAGCGGCATTAAGAGACAACCTTAGTAATTAGTATAAGAAATTGCTTTGGCTTTTGTGTTTCTCCTCTGTGTTTCATTTCTGAGGTTTAGCTCTGCCCGAGGATTAACTCTGTCTTTTTCCTTCCCTGGTTCATGAGCTGCATTATGTTCATCCACTTTATGCAGGTACTTAGTGGATATGCTCCTGCATATGTCTGGCTTACTACTCTATGAACACAATTTCATTCCAAGCCTTTAATTGATTTGGATAATAAAGTGCAATTATAAACTCAATAAAAATTGGTTATTTTAAAGGGAGAGCAGGAAAGAAAGAAACCTAAGTGATGCTGTGCTGTGTGACTAGATAATGATGCAAAATCCTCTTTGCCTTACATTCTAAATGCTCTCTTGCTTCCAGGAGAGGCTTGACCTTAGACAGGAGCTAACTAAGAAGTATGAGGTGTTCTACCAGGGGGATGCTCTGGCAAGATTTGCTTATGGCATGGGTCAGGGATGAGAGACAGTGTATTGGGATGGGAAGAATGGGGAATTGAAAATGTTTCAGCCATTCTGGGCAGATCTCTAAAGTACCTAAATGGCACAGGGATTTTTTTTCAATCCCTGACCCTTTGGGAATTTATCCTTTACTCAGTGTCTGCTTTTTCACTAGAGGGCAAAAGACCTGGTATCTGAGATTGTGTCTTGGATTTAGGAAATCTGTGAGTTTTTGAGTGTTGCATCTTACTGATGACTTTTCTATTTTTTTTTCTCCTTTGTTTTTCGTACTGAAAATGTCATAAGGAGAAATAATTTCTTACTAGGTGTGACTGCTCGTTTGCTCCACTGCCATTTTGATATGGTTTCATATCTTGGGTTGCTTGGATACAATAACTGAGTTCCTTTGTTTCTCTTTGTTTTCCCAGTTGGGAGGCTGTGGAATCCTTGGTGTAGGCATCTGGCTGGCTGTTACCCAAGGGAACTTTGCCACCCTCTCCTCTTCTTTCCCATCCCTGTCAGCTGCCAACCTGCTGATCGTCACAGGAACGTTTGTCATGATCATTGGCTTCGTGGGCTGCATAGGTGCCATCAAAGAAAACAAGTGCCTCCTGCTGAGTGTGAGTATTGAGCTGCTGCAGTGTTTGCTGTCTTGTGATGCTGGTGCTATTGCAATGCATGCTGCAGTGACCTGTATCTCAACAGAAGTTGCCCATTTGACCCAGATGAGACGCGAGTCCTGTGTGAAACAGGCGTTGATAATCGCTCTGAGGAGCTGCAGGTCATTCCTGACCATGGAGGATGAGACCTGCAGGGAGGGAATTGTTAGTGGTGGTGTAGGTTTCCTTCAGAGAAAGAGGAAGGGTTTTGTAAAGACATCTTTTGTGGTGTATCTTTAAATTATTTTTCACTCAGTTTTGATAGGAATCCACTCCAAATGTTTGCCCTAGTGGCACTGGTTATCTGAAATCCAGGGCAGGGACATCAATGCAGGCAAGAAACAGGTTGATTCTAAAGCAGTTGATTCTGGTTTAAATGAAAATTAAGACTGTCAGGTTTGACAATGCTGTTTTTTCCAACCATTCATTCTCCAAAAGGTGAGATTTCAGGAAGCAAAGGTGCCAGCACAAGGAGACTGCTGTGAAATCAAAGATTAATAAGGTGCCAGCTGTCCATGATTTCACAGAATCTTGAGCCACATCCCTGGTGTATTTTATGAAAATGCAGTTTGATGCCACTCAAAGGTGCAATTTAGGAACAGTGAATACCTTCTGTAGTTGGTGTTAGTGTGTATTTTGTATCCTGTTCAGCTGAGGACCAGGAAGTGAGGTGATCTTGCTGCTCAAGACTAGGACTTCACCATGAGGTTTGGCAAACCTCAGAGTGAAGAGGAGCTGTGGTTCAGCTGGTCATCTGGTGATGCCTCTGTAAAAGGCTGCTCCTTACTGTGCTTCACGTAATAATTTTTTTCTCTGGGAACTGCAGAATGAGTTAAGGCACATAAGCCCCCAAATCTCTTAAGTGACTGAGATTCCAAGCCTCAACAGAGGACTTTTTCCAGGCCCTTGTCTTAATCAGTTGTTTCTGCTGATTTTTAGGCAGTCAGAACTAGTCAGTCTAGGCTAGTAAAGGCTATGTATGTGGCATGAAACTAAAATGAACAATATAAATGGAAATTAAGGCAGTTATGTGACTGAAAATCTAAACTGGCAAGGCTGAAGTCAGAATCTGAAGCTGAAAGTCCTTGACATTTTTAACAGTCCTATAAATACACACTTTGTGGAGGAAGTGTGTGCCCAGACAGATGTAATGGATTACAGCTTTAATGCCAATACGGCAGGAGCCCACAGGGTGCACAGTCTAATGGTATAGCTTATATGAGCAAAATTAATCACCTACTTTGTTCTTTTCTGAAGGCCTAGCCCAGGTGTGACAGCAGTGAGCAGTGCCTGCATGTGTGTCAGGATCTGGCAGTCAATCCTCAGTACTGGAGGAGTTTAAGGATTTTTCTCTCTTATGGTTTTTTGTCCTTCATCTGTCCTTTTGGCAAGGACAGAGACTCCCTTGATCAGCCATCATTGCCCAGCTAGGGTGAATGCACTCAGCCACCCCCAGCTGGGCATCCATGGGAGATGGAAATGCTTGCAGGTACTGCTCCTCCTGACACTGCAGAGCACTCAGAATCACTGTCCCTCAGTGTCTGACATAAGGACTCTACTTGATGGATCAAGTTAAGTAATGCAAAGGAATCCAAATTCATTTAGGAGCTCTCTGCACAGGAGAATGGAGAAGCTTGATCTGATTAGGTACCTGCATTTCACTCTGTCTTCATGTCCTTACCTTTCTGTACTGTAGCTATTCACTGTGGCCTCTATTTTACTCAATTTTCTTCAAAACTGAGTTGTGTTAGAGCTGATTATAGCTACTTTAATTCTGATTAAGCCCAACTGTAGAGGGTCGAAATACAGTTTCATTAGTCCACATTGAATTCAGTTTTTATTTGGTTTAGAGTGACTTTCTATATTTCATTGCATTGGTACTTTCTCACTGTCAGTAAATACCAGGGAGATTTTTGAGCTCTTCTGAGTTGTTTTTGTTGTGCCTATGTCTTTAGAAGAGAAATGGATGGTGGTAGCAGCTCTTGTTTCTGTGAGCAAAGCCTTACCATGCAGGTTTGTCCTTAGTCTTCCTTTCCCCACACTGCTGGTTTGAGTTGACCTGTGCTTGAAAGTGTTTTCAAGTTTAGGGCTGAGACATTTAGTTTTGGCCAGCTCCCATTTTTCTAGGTAACACAGACAGCAAAAAAAATTCTTGAATGAAAGAAATTGCTGAATATCAAACCAGGGCTGCTCTTAGGGTGTGTGGTTGGTACATTCTTTCCTCCATTTCTTATTCCACAAGTGTTCCCAACACGGTGTTCTGGCACAATGAAAACTATGTCTTCCTAGAATATCTCTGGGTTTTTAAACAGCCCTGAAAATGCCCTGTCTGCTTTTTAAAGAGGATTGTTTTGTTGCAGCTGGCTTGCAATAGGATTTACCATCTAAATTGTAAAGGGAAAGCTCCTAAGTGTTCCCAGCCTTGTGTGTCTGTGGCACACATGGTGCTTAACAATTGCTCATGGATCAAGTCCTTACACTCCTTTCAACATCTCCCTGGCTGCCACTTAACATCTGGCCTTGGTCCTGGTGGTAGCTAAGGTTGCTTTTGGAACTGAATTTGTATCTCCAGAGGGCATTGCCACAGATGTGACAGCCACTCACAAAGTAACTTGTGTGTGATGCAGCTGCCATCTTCCTGTGAACCATTTTCTTTAGCAGCTTCTTGTAACATTTTATTCCATTTGGAAATAGGAGCTTTGGAAGTAGAAATGGAGCAACTGAAGTCTGTTTGCACAGGTGTTTAAGAAGGGAAGGTGGAGGCTGTTTGGTTGTCTTGCACTAGTCCCTAGATAATGCATTTGGGTGGTTTGCTTCACCTCCTGATATTTGTCGAGCCCCAGCATTAAAATCCCAGAGTGGTTTGAGTTGTAAACAACCTTAAAGATCATCTAATTCCAACTCCCCTGACATTAGCAGGGACACCTTTCACTAGACCAGGTTTACTTACAGCACTAAACAAACTTAGGGAATTGAGATGCACAGGAGTTAGACAAGGTCTGCAGGCAGTTGTAACAGATTTGTGGTGGGCTTAAAAGCATGGAATAGTTATTAATGGAAATGCAAAGAAAAGGAAAGCAAGAAGTAGAAGCTAGAATGTTACATGCATTGTGTGTTTCAGCAGTCTGTATACTATAGTCTGATGAAGGGAGCTTGGAGTGAACAAAAAAAAAAAAGATCAAGTGGGATAAACCAAGCTGGGGGAATAGTTAGGGATTTTATCATGGTGGGTTGGCAGATACTTATGTTATATCCTACATATGTGAGATCAGACATTGCTCCATTGAGCAAAACATTGCTGTGTATCTCTGAGTGAGTAACAGTTTTCACTGACCTGCCCTTTTCCTTGGCTCCATACAGCATGACAGAAAGCTTGGGGTGTTAAGTATGACCACAGACAGTAGTAAAGATGATGTGAATTCTCTGCCTGTACTGTATTCCTGTTGCAACCCACTCTGAAAATCACATCCTTAAGATCTCTTTGAAGACACTTGTGGCATTTTAAGCCCACAAACAACATGGTCATGCTGGGTTTAACCAAGAGCAATTTGGGCCTCAGGTTGCTCATATCTCCCACAGTGCACCTCATCCTCATGTGGGGTGTTGGGAGTCTGATCTGCAAGGACTGGAAAGACAAATTTCCCATACAACAGGAATGCTTGCTCTGCTTCCTAAAAGCAGAGGGAAGAGGAAAGCCTGTGGCAGTTTCTAGCTGAGGGCACGTGCTGCTGTTATTGAGGTGGGCAGTTTGGAGGAAGACATTTGAGATACTGCAGGAGGCATGGAGCACTGTGGGGACCCTAAAATGAACTGAGGGGAAGCAGGAAGAGCTCAGCCCATCTGCACTGGAGAAGCAGAAGTTTATGTGGTGGTAGACACAGGATATTTGTGGAAGGTCTTGCCTTAAGAATAATGCTCCTGTTTGATGATGTGACAAGGGATGAGATTTCCCACAGTTTGATTGAGTGAATGAAAAGTGAGCAGTATCAGAGAGACATTTCAGCCTATTTACATTTCATACACTAAGATGCAGAGCAGATGAGACTCTGATCATGTATCTTTGTGTTCTGCACATATGACATTTGTATTGGTTTGTCAGAGCGCACCTGTAAGCTCTTTGGTATTAGGCTGTTGTGGTGTTAGGTGTGAATGTTAGTAATTACTTACCTCTGGCATTTGCCAATGACCTTTGAAAGAAGTGAGAGCAGACCAAGTAGTTTGAGAAGTAGAGGACAGGTGGGAAAAGGAGATCAAAAGCAGAAGTAAAGTTCAGTTTGTAAATGAGATTTTAGTACAGCTGTGTGCATTAGTCAGGAGGAGCCACATTAAATCCCTGAATTGAGAGTTTAGATAGCTAGTCTATAGCTTCAAGATTTATGACTTGAAAGAAATGACCTGGTCTCAACTGCAGATATTCTTTACTCAGTAGCAATGTATAGTCAGGAAAATGTAAAGTCAGTGCTTCCTTAGTTTCTTAAGAAACAGGCCCATTCTTATTTCTCTGCATTCAGAGGAATAGAATAATATGAAAATCTAAGAATGTAAAAAAAAAAATAAAAGGAAACATCAACCATTCTATGCATTCTGCAAAAACACATAGATTGTGAATTTTACAGCTGTCATTCTAAGATGTCAGTGAACAAAAAAATGGGTATTTGCGCTGATTCTTATTTGCTCCAGCTACAATGTGAATGAAGATAAACTTTTCCATTATTCAATTTCTCTAGGGAAATCAAAGCAACAGGTATTCTCGAGATAAGTATGCAAACTGGTATATATAATCTTACATCTGAATATAGATGCAAATTGTTGAATGAAGTAGCCAAACAGTGCTTTCCTGCTTCAGTAAGACTTGTTTAACATTTTTGTGAGCATTGTTGCTCAAGACTGTATGACTGAGGTCCCTCTGCTACAAGCTCAGCTGTAGAGTTAGAAAATGGCAGCTTTGTTCTGACGGGTTG